TAATCTAGAGGGAATATATTTGTAAGATATCAATGAGGTACTAAAACAGGATTTTCCAACCGCGTGGAAGCGATTTCTTATCTATGCAACACTGAACAAAACCCCGAAGCTATTATAAATTAAGGAGTTCAGATATTAATAAACTGAACAGTGTAAATCAAAATCACTGCTAAATTATATATTATATATATATATATATAAGTCGGAAATTATAAAAAGGATGAAGGAATGCAAGAAAAGGAATAGTTAATGTTACCTAGACTTCTCATATGAATGAACTGGCACACTTAACATTGAAGTCATTGGGCGAGTAGAGCAAAGAATTATGAATTCGGAAAGGAATAAGACTAAACTGAAGTCACCGTAGGCAGGAGAAACTAATCGAAAATCTTATGTATAGGTTCGTTTGAGAACAGTCGTTCCTATAAGGCGAAGTAGTTCTGGCGTTTTATGCCTGTACCGGATTTAAATGTTACTTAGAGCATCAAGTTTATATTTTATGTCTACTGGGATTTGCTTTTCTGTGATAGGTCCCTTGAAGTATCCATCCTCTCTAGGAGACCTCAGGGATGTTCAACTTTTTAAAGTTTTCCGCTAGGCTAAGTAAGTCTCGTATCAATCCACTAAGCAGCTTATTCGACAAATTGATAGGGGTTATATTACTGCTTCTTAACAACTATCATAGTTTCAGGTTATGTGTAGCTGATGAATATCCTTAAAGTAAAGTCATCTCATTTTATTTTGCAAGTATATTCCTTTCCTTGTCCAAAATCAAACTCGTCCGAATTGTTTTGAAACCGCCTACTCCTAAGTACCGTAAACTATCTTCCTATAACTCATTCTCATTTTTTCTGACAATGAAACTATCATATCTAATAGTCTCTGCTATTAGTCTTAAAGTTGAAATGGGTAAGATTGGTTTCTGGTGGTTTTACGCCCTCTTTTTTCTCGTATAAATTTCGTCATCCTCGGCAAATTCATCAGTATAAAAACAAAATGAAATGAGATATTAGAATTTCTACAAAATATAATTGATCACTTGTCTCAATGACATTGGATGTCAGTGCTTCTTTCTGTGGTTCGACAATCACTTTCTGTGTGTGTATAGTGACTACTTCTTTTTAAAATTCTGTTTCTTACTGTATAACTGCTATTCACTTTTCTTGTTGTTCTCTAGATTAAAATTGTTTCTGTGTCTGTAAATTATAAATTGACCTGGGTCAAGCTTTTAGAAATTTGTTGGGCTTCCCCTATTTAAAATTCCCATATTTCTTGAGTTGAATTCATTTGTACATCTTTTAATACACTGATTTAAGAGAAGTTACGTTTTATCGTTTAATGCATGATGAGCGGCAATATAGTTCAAACCGAAGTCGGTCACTTTGTCCAGTACAGTGTTTGTCACGATTTCTCCGATAGATCTAACTTGCCTTCTCATGTAAGTTATCCTCTTGACCTCCACAACTCGGGGGATAAGTAAGTAACACTTTAACCAAGACGGTAAAATAAACAGTTATACTGATCAACTGTTGCTTCTGTACTAGGAATTTGCTCACAACTAATCTTCGTAATCATACAGATATTACTTATGGAAACCATGAATCTAATATTAGAGAATGACGTCCCCATTTCAGTGTCAAAATAAGTCATTTAAATGAAGGTTAGCCTTTTTGATTTTATTGTAACTTTACCGCACACTAGACAGCAAGCAAAAGCACTTTTAAGTGAGCCTTGTTTTTCTGAAAATAATCATATCTTCGAAACACCCATAAAGTAAATTTCGATTTTCGCTGTTAAGAAAATTGCTTCATATATTTCCATTCTAACAGTTATGCTTGAAGTCACACCGAAAATTATTAGATAAATGAAGATTTGGATTGTGGCACATACGGAAACTAAGCAAGACCTGGAAGCGAGCGCGAAGAAACCAGCTGGCTTACACTAGCTCGAAAAAAGATATTGGATAATTGGAAGCCTGGGACATGACAAATAAGATATCAGGCGCGTCCATCTCGTAAGAATTGTTAAACCGTGGAACGCCCATCCTACATACATGATCCGGATCACTTCGCCTGAATCCGTTAAACACTGACTGGATATTTATTTGACATGTGGCTGGGAGCTGGTAGGGACTAAGCGAGTTTTCACATTTTGACCGCCACGTTTACCCCTCTCTCTGTACACAGGTTAACAACTATAAGAAGTAGTGATTCACGGGTTTTAGACCCGGAAGCAGGCCTAGGACACTGAGACAACAGCAAACGACAGAACTCTAGGGCTTAAGTCACCATCACTGTCTGCAGGCAAGATATCCGAACTTGCCTAGACTCTATACAGGCCTTAGAAACCGTTGTGGGAAAAAAGTTATTGGGGCTGTCCCGTTCGAGCTGGCCGTCCTGTAGCAGGTTTCGCATTGCGCACGACCTCCTTCAGTCGGTCACCACCAAGGCACTCCATGTTGTTAGAAACATATCCAGGTGCCTTTACAGTAGTGTGAGGGGACTTAGGAGTAATATGGGGAAAATTATGACCTCTACGTTCCTGCCTTGCTCCAAAGATCATAATCCTAACGGAAACTAGGTTATCACCGGATATTAGTGACGTCGAAACTAGTATAGAGTGTATGCGTCTGTTCAGGAGAGACATGGAGTTTAAGGAAGGAGGTGGAGTGGCATTGTTTATGAGTGACGATATCAAAAGTGAACGAGCAACTGGAACTTCGCTTTTAAGGCTCTCAGACTCCACCTGGTGTGGCTTTACAGCTGGACACAGCCAGTATTTAGTAGGTCGGGTGTAAAAAAACTCCTACTAGCAACGTAGAACATAACCGGTAGCTGCTGCAGGTAATGTCCGAAGCGACGCCCAAGGGATATGACCCGGACATTATAGCCGGCGACTTTAATGCTCCAGTTCTCAATCTTCGGCAGGACAGCAGAACCTCAAGCCGAAGGCTTAACCGAAACCTACTCAACACTTTCAAGAGGGCTGGACTGCATGAGGATATTGGGGAAGACACTCGCTGGGGGTCGGGTGAAAAACTGTCCAAACCGGACTACCATTTTGCCGGCGACTAACTGCTGGCTGAAAATGTTCAAGTTCAAACCCCCCTTGGTGGTAGCGATCACGGCATGCCAGTGTTCGGTCTGGTACCCAACGGGCAAGTGTCATGGGAGGGATCTCGCCCTTGTCTTTACTATAGCGAGGCAAACTGCGTGGCGATGAACCAATACCTGTCTACACAACTGTGACCTCAGGATTGGAGTAACCCTTCGACTGATCAACATTGGGAACCAGTTAGAGATATCATCAAGAGGGCTATCTCTGAAAACGTCTCAGTAACCACAGCAATATTGAGGATGAGAACCTCATGGCTGAAGCGAGGCACTGAACGCCTTTTGAAAACCAAGAAGAAATCATGGCATAGGTGGAGGGCGTCCAGAAAACAGTCAAAAGCGCGCACCAAGGGACAAGTGCTCTACTGGTTACAGGACTATTTAGACGACAGACAATTCTGTACGAAAGCCAACACAGTTTGCTCGACTTGGAGGACATCATCATCTGACGTATCGCAAGCAGCGATGCTGGGTTCGCTGCCATTCCTTCGTGAACGACCTCTCACTGAATCTTAGCTCCTCAACTCTACTCTACGCTGACGATCTTAAGCTATGAAGAGCTGTGACGTCGGAGACAGAATCAAGTGCACTAAAAAGCTACCTAAGATCACTTGAAGAGTGGGTGGACTTTAATGGAGTAGCATTTGATCTGGATAGGTGCTCAGCCATGTTTCGTCGCACCCCAAACCTTCGGAAGGTACCCTATTCTCTGTGGAACACAGCCTTCCCGCACCATCACGGAGAAAGACCTAGGACTAATAGTGACTGATAAACCAGACACTAGCTCCAATTATCCAGGAGGCGCCTCCAGAACGTACGTAGTACTGCACTTCATGAGCAGACAACTAGGTGCCCTGACACAGGAACCCTTTTTGAAGCTGTACAAGAACCACATACGACCTTACTTAGAGGTCCACAACGTCACTGCACCACCATATCTGAAAAGAGACGTAAACCTTCTAGAGAGGGTCCAAAAGCGAGCTACAAAGGATGTCGCGGGAATGAAGCGAAAACCCTATGAGGACAGGCTGAATGATCTAGGACTCTACTCTCTAAGCTACCGTAGATTACGTGGTGACTTGATAACGGCTTACACAATACTCGGTAACCCAAGTCATCCGAACAGCGGCTATGCCGACCCTCATGGTAACCCAAGGAGAATCACCCATCAAAAGGTGAAAACCCGTGTGCGGTCACACTTCTCCCTGCTAGTTTGCGGCCACTGGAAAGCATTGCCTGCCGAGATTGACACTGCTCCGTCTGCTGACAGCTTCAAAAAGTGGTTTTACAGCCACGCAGCGACGCAGGGTTTGTGCTAACCTAGCTGGGATATGGACCAGGCTGACACGGCCTACTAACTCATAACGGCAAACCCACTATCGAACTTGGCTCAACCTTATACTTCCCTGTAGACGCCCCCTCTAGTTACCGTTCCTAATGATAGAATTACCGTATCTATTCCCATCCGTCCTATAATGTTATCTACTCCTCTTTCTACTGATTTTATAATTCCTTTTTCCTAATAGCTATTTCTTTTCTCTTTCTGTTTGTTTTTCTTTGCACTTTCTCTCTCTTGATCTCTCTGGAAGTATTCCCCATCTCCTTTTTACAACCAGCCTGACCGATTGTCTGCTGGTACGACACTCGAGGAATCCATCTGCACTGCAGTCCTTGGAAGAAAAGACAAACAAACAAAAACACTATACAAATTTAACCAACACCCAACCACACGTCGGGCTACAGCACTGGAGTGGATAAACCTACTGCATCGGAATCCGCCAAAAGATCAAAAGCCGTTCTGCAAGACCAGGGAGTGAGCGCGAAAAAATCAGTTGGTCTACAGCAGCTCGTAAAAGGATATGGGATATTGGAACCATCTGAACCCTTGTATCGCGTGGACTGTTTAAAAATGGTGTTACGGGTTTTGGTAATATTTCCCCTAACTATAGTTTAGTATTTGAATATCAGATTTTAAAATAAATTACCATGGGCTCTAATAATACTTTACTAACAGACCTGTTTACTTCCAAGTTCGTCCTTGATTGAGTGACTCTTTTTGATGTCATCAAGGAAAGCGACAAGTTCACAATGTAACGTCACTACAATTCCAACAATTTGCGTGGATAGTAATTTGGAATTAGTCGATGGTTACGATGGTAGTTTGTGTGCGAAGTCAGAGGAGGATTTTTACATCATTGAAGAGCAGACGTTCGGCATAAACGTAAGAAGTGAAATACTTTCAGCATTTATGTACTTAGGAGTTATATTACTTATCACGTCTTTCATGTATCAGCAACCACAAAAAGTTCCTGATAGCTATCGCACTTCTTTCACAGTGTGGTGAAGGCTACCGTTTTGCTACACAGCAGTGGTTAAGTAACACCAGAAGAGAATCTAAAGAAGGTCCTGATAAGATGTGTGCAGATCTCAGCAGTGCAGGTAAGACATGACTTCTCACCAAGGCTGAACATTCTGTCAGAAGATGACATTATTGCTTTTGTGGTATCCTTTTTCATAAACAGTGAATCCATCTGGTGCTTTTCAGACTGTATTATGGTCATTTTGCTGTTTAAGCCTTGTAAACATGATACTGATTTGTTTCGGCGCATGTAGCGACTACGCATATGTTAATTGTATGCTTTTACTAGGAAAGTTTTGGGCTGTGGTGAGTTTTGCTAGCTGGTTCACTGGTCGGACAATGAAACAACTGCTTGGTCGCCAAATGTAAACTCACCCCATCCAGTAAGGTTTGTCTGTAGGATATTATCATTAGCAGTTACAATAGGTGTGACACAGTACTCAGCACATCGGTTTACATTTCGGTAGCTATTCTGCTATTGACCAGAAAGTCCTAGTAGGCTGGCACGTTTCAAAAGTCGTCTCATATGGAGTTTTTCACCCTTACATATGTTTGCTTCGCATATCAACTCGTGTCGTTACTTCGTCGTAAAAAGGTTGGTATATTGTGCAGGGCAGATGCAACTTAAGGTTATTAAAGACTACGGGAATACCTAAAGGATGTTTTGGTAGATGTTGGCTAAGAAATGAATGGACTGATTTTTCGTATTATTGAAAAAAATTAGTAAAACGTAGGTGCTAAAAATGTACCATAAAAAATTATGCGACAGCATTAAAAAAATATTGAAGAAAAAATGGAGTAAAAGCAAGTTTTGGAGTGAGTTACCAGACAAGTCCCAAGCATTCACTACTTTCGTCCTGCTCTTCGATGATAAAAGAAACAATAAAGCTGCATCAAGACCGCTACTAACTTCTCAGAGCTACATCTGCTATCATATTAAGGTATTCAGTTGCACTATCACATCCACCGACTGCAGTTTGGATGATACAATGTATGAATTGTATTAGCTGTCAATTTTGCTACATAAAGTAAAACGTTCAGATGTAGTCATAGTGGCAGGTGACTTTAACGCTCAAGTAGAGAAGTTGGGCCAATCAGAAAGGCATCTTAGAGTTATCTAAGGATCACATACCAACACGTAGTCTATGGCAATCGTCTGTTGCAATTTTGCTGCGATAGCCACTTGTTTCTGACCAAAACTAACTTTAAGCATAAAGAGAGACACTGTCTCACACGGCGTTCGCTGACTACAGACCAACGATGGACACAGATGGATCACATCGCTGTAAGCCATCGTTGGAGGGGATCAGTAGGGGATAGCCACTCTCTCTAGGGTGCTAGTTTGGACTACGATTACGCGCTAGTACAATTCGTGTATGTCTGCGCCCTACTGATTGGAGAAACTAGGTGATAGTAAAGTCTGTCTGTGGTCGATTGGAGCATGAGAACGTCCGATCCGAGTCTAGGGAAGAAATAGCTAAGCATTTATCTGAACATTACAGCTCATTCTGAGGAAACCTGGCATGAAACAGGTACAGACAACTGTAACCTACACTCGAAGGCTAGCAAATTTCATTGGGTTTCCACGACGTCAGCCTAACTGATTGATGTGGGAAGATCGATTCCAGTTGGCGCCGACCACGATGGAGGGCGAAAGTAACTGAAACGTAAATTAACCAAGGGTCTTCGTGCCGACCACGAGCAGTTGTGGGTGGAGAAAGCGAGAGAGATGGAGAAGACATCAGCGTTGGGTAACATCAAGCAGCTGTTTGGGATTATTAGGGAAACCGACAAGAAGAAAACAATGATGAGTGAAACCATCATCTATAATGATGGGATGCTGGTAACGTCCCTGGAAAGGTGGCTAGAAGGTTAGACAGGACACTGAAGCACAGTTCAGCCGGCCGCCCGCAATTCTTCAGTTGCCCGACATCCAGCTTGAACTAGAATTGGATGTAGAAGTGGGTCTTCCGACTGTTGGCAAAACTGAGAAGGCTGTTTGTTTTTTACCTGAAACGATGCAAAGCAGCAGTACCTGGCAGTTTGTCAGTTGACGTTTTTAGGCATGGAGGTTACCGAGTAAACTAACGGAGGTACTGGGAAGTGTATACGAATCAAACGTTATACCTGCAAACTGATTTACTTCACAGATCATCTCAATCTGTAAGAAGAGACAGAAGTCTTCTGGTGACAGTTACAGTGAAATCACTTTGACTAATGCCGTATACAAGATCCTTGGATATATAGTTATCCGACGTTTGATTGGGGTTCAAGAACAAACTTGAAATGCCCAGACAGGTTTCAGACCTAGACGAGGATGTATCGACCATATTTTCACCCTCCGACACGTTCTGAAACGCAAGCATACTAACCGATGGCCCGAACTTCCCATATTTTTTGACCTGACGACTACAGTCGACCATATCAATTATGAGGTATTGTGACAGTGTTTGACTATGAAGGGAGTACTGAGCAAGTGTGAAATGCTAATCATAGCTCTCTACGCGGATTAACGGAGGTGTGTAGGGTGTATTGAGGTTCTCAAATTAATTAACAACAATCAGTGTTGTCCGGTAGGATTCCCCACTGTCACCATTCCTGTTTAATTTCACTATAGATGCATTAATGAACATAACTTAAGTTACGTATGACTTCACAGGAAGTGGTCTAATCTTTATAGGGTATCTGTTGGACTTGAAGTACGCAAATGATATTGTTCTGCTAAGTGAAAATGCTAACAATCCAGGGTCTTCTGAAGGTGGTGAGTAGAAATCTGAGTATTTGGCATGGGTTTCGCACCTATCAAATGTAAGATGATGTCCCAGGACTGGTTTGCAACTGGTCCTAGTTTAAGGATGAGGAGTTAAATATTTGGATGCCTCGGCCAATGATAAAATCTAGACTCGGACGCAGAAGGCACGTATAACATTTGCCAACGTGTAATCTCTGGCACCGACCAGCGATATATCCGACTACTTATTAAAGGACGAGTATACTGCATTGCAGTTCGTTCTGTACTGTTGTACGGCTGTGATACATAGCCGCTGAAAGTAGATTTGGGGCGGCTACGGGTATTTTACCGTAGATGTGTTCGTAGCATTGGTCATGTGGGTGAAATCACTTTCAGTCATGTTAGTCGAAAAGTACTAGGCAGGACAGGGAAGTCGGTCGGTGAATTTGTGAACCTTCATCAACTGCAGTGACTGAAACATGTGTTGCGTATACTGAGTCATGACCTACCTCCACGTTCAATGGTAGGAGATAGATTAGGTTGAAAAACGTGGCACCAGTCAATAAAGTCTCTATATGTTGGTCTGAGTTTTGTAGAGAGGTTTAGATTATCTGAGTGTGATCCTCAAGACGATAGGAATCAGTTTTTGTTGACTCTTGGTCAAACGGTTGAAAGCTGGTCACAATGACATCTTCGAAAGCTTGAATATTTCCACTAACCATCAACTTCAAATTCTTTATAGTGTGAATACTAAGGCTAATTTTAACAAGGAACTGGCTTGACACTGATCGGAACAGAACAACATCACTCATTTAAAAGTCTGGCAACATCTCTAGTTTTGCTGTGAGAACAGCGTCAAAAACCTTAACTGACTCTGAGAGAGTGGTTGGGAAAGGTCAGTGGACCTCAGTAGCTTTCTTTAAATTAATGGCTTCAAGCACAGTGTGGAACAGAGATAGCTCGTGTATTCTGACAAAAATCTCAGTAAGCGTGAGCAGAGGTGCGCAGTAAGAGCTAAAGCGATGGTAAAGGCAGAGTCGACAGTTAATAGTAGACAGTTATTTTAACTTACCAAAAACGCGTGGATAAGACAATAGTTATCGAGACAGTGGGGAAATATACGTATGTGATATACTCACACAAGAGAGTCTTGGATTATTAGTCAGGTTAACTGAAGTGCTAGTTAGTGTATTGGAATCGGATATGGTTCCCTCTGCTCCCAAGCACTGATTGTCCCAGTCTTCAAGAAAGGAGGGAAATCCTGCTATGATAACCGCGGGGATCAGTCTGATAAACATAATGCCAAAGATTTTAGGCTTTATAATCATCTGACATCCAAGTGGATGTCAGGAGCAGTAAATTTGAAGAACCAGACAGGCTTCATACCTTGCTGTGGGTGTATCACTTGGTTGAAGGCTCTGTAATCGAACTAGCTTGGGCGTGTTAGAGCCTACGGTAAGTTGTCAAGTAAGTTATTTACATCAAGCGGCATCTGTTAAGGATGTCCACTCTCTCCATTCTTATGGAGCTTTATCATAGACACCCATATGGTTACGTAAAGACAGACAAGAATCAGGGCCTACTGGAAACCGTAAGTAACAATTTAAGAATGGGATTTGTTTCCCACCATCCGAATGCAAATTGTTTCTCCAGGTCTGGTCTTCGCCGGTGCACTGTCCAACAGTAGAGGGTGACATGGTTGAGCGTGTTGACGTCTTCAATTACCTGGGGAGTCAGATCAACCCTAGTGGGTGGTCAGTGACCGACGAAATTTCCGCATTGACATGAAAGACTCGTCTTACTTTCGCTAACACAATGTATAACGCCGCTATGACATCCGATTGCCTATTGAGAGTCGAGTGTACTGCGCTGTAGTTCGCTCTGATCTGCTATACATCCGTTAAACACAAGCAGTAAAGGTAGGGGACATGAAAAAGCTTCAGGTGTTAGACCACCACCGCCGTCGTAACATAGGTTGTTTCGTGGTTTCACTACTCCGGTAAAATCAGGTGCACAGTTTTAAGGAGGAGAGGAAAGCTAGTTGGTGAGGTTGTGGCCTTCATCGATTGAGGTTATGCATACCTCGTAGCCATCTACTCCGTCGCACAATGTTAGCTGAAGTAGGTTTCAGGTGGAAAATTTTAGAAGTGGCCAAACTATTGTATAGTATCAGCCTATGAATTATCCGACTGCTCATCTGAGTCATGCTGGGGATTGTAGACTTCCCAGTTGGGGGCGATGTGAAAGTGCAAAATGGACGTAGTGAGATCCGATCTGAGTGCTGCAGGATCATCCACACATGATCCTCATCTCAATCGGCATACTAAAGTCAGCATTTTTCGTATTCCTCTTTGGTATTTTATCACAACTTTCTACCACTGACTGCTTTCTGTATTTCGTTATCCTTTATCTTAGTGCTTTCTTGCTTGATATGCTGACATGCGGTGTGGCAACTTAGACCGCTACGCAGTAAAACCTGGTGCTATGTTAATCTTATCCGTCTGTTCGTTAATTTTGTACTGCCGCTAAGTTACATCATCTTCTAAACGAGCACCAGTGTGAAAAGTAGTAATGCTGCAGAGCCGCCTAAACCTTGGTAGATACATCTGGCTTCCCACAAGTGACTTATTAGCAGGAAGTCGAAAGCCAAAATTATTGAGCTACAACTTTATAGGCAAACAGAAAAAGGCGAGTCGAAAAGATTAACATTTTAACTCAAAAACATACTTCCATAACTCGAAAAATTAGTTACACTGAAAGACTGAATAACCCACACACATAGCTTACTTCTGCTTAGAGTTAGTGAACGAGATGTTAGATTCCTATGGTCTAAAGTTTGTCCTACATGATGACTAAATCTTCCGGTCACAACCTGATCTGTGAATGAATTAACTTGTTCTCCAATGTATACATTTTGCTCAGACGACGTGTGCATAATACGGAGTTTCCCCGCTGAAAAAGACAAGGTACTTGCTAATTTGAATCAGAATAGAAACAACGAGTAAACGGTTTTAGCCGTTTGATGCATGATAAACGTATGGAAAACCTTTCAGTTTTTACCAAACAGTAGAGATATTAGGAATACGACTAAAAACTCTCAAATTCTGCGGTTTGACTAGGGATGGGGATAGGTAGAATTTTACTTATCCATAGTCTTCTTTCATTATTGCTTGCTATATGCCATTTGATGCGGACAGTTGATTTACTTTTTTTCCCATGAAAGGGTATTTTTTACAGTGATGCAAAGACAAGTGTTTAGTATGCAACCAGAATCGCAGGTACTGATAACCTTGATTCTATCGCAAGTGTACAGGACCTTCCCAAAAATGTGCTGGTCATTATTTTCCGGAGGTATGCAGCTCCTGAAGTTGGTCCAGTTTTCGGATAACACATTTCAGTCTGTAAAATAGCTTTTAAAGACAACCATTTTTTGGATTAGACTTTCAAACACCATTAAATAACTGATAACATGAAAATCGATTTCACAGATAACTGTAGCAGAAATTTGGTCCTTCTCATTATCATTATTATCATGCTTCATTTACATAAAACCCATAGCAAGTAATTGTTTTGAGTGAAGATGTAGCTCATTGGTTTAGGCTGATGACTTTTGACCGATAGGCCACGGGTTCAAGTCCTGCTTAGATATAATGCTGACTGCTGCAAGTGAAACCTAGCTGAAGTATATCAACGATCGAAAAACTTCACATAAACACTTAAATCGGATAAAAATGACATGTTTTGTCCAGAGTCGTTCACCCTAATAAAAACAATTTTTATCCCTCTGAAAGTCATTGCTCCGTGACCTGTTATGAACCAACTTTTCCAATTTCGTTCATCATTTGGTTATGCAAAATGTCAGTCGACCGAACTAGTACTATTTGAGATGGTTCCATTCGTAAAAATTTACTCGTTGACTTCAAACCGACCTAGTTTTACAGCTTGGAGATAAAATTATGTTCCAGGAAAATCCGATACCTGTGACTGATCATCCCAATTTGTACTGTCAATGTAAGTGACTGCATCACTTACTGTCACATCATTTCACATCTATACAACTAATAGAGATAAATGCTTGGATATCTCGTTGGTAAATGCAATTTTGGTGTATTCGTCTCTCAGTCGACCATACAGAGGTTCAGTATTCGTATTTCGTACACCTATTAGGGCGTTAATATACACGTATCCATACTGTCTCATGACTGGAGTGCAGGCGCACATTTTAAAGGAGCAGCAGTCGTCCACTGACCTTCTCTAGTGATGTATTATTTGAATATGGTCTTCCTTTGGCCACAATTTATCTAGTGTTGGAAACCTTCAAGTTATACAGGGTCCCTCTTTGTGTTGGAAATTAGTGGCGATCAAGATAAAATAATTATTAAAACAAATTGTAGGGGAAAATAGTATTTATTTTGTCACCGATTTGCGGTTCCGTAGATATCCTGGAGATGGTTTTCCGATTGGTTCACTTCCCTTACATGAGTGTTAAACTTGTTCCTTAGTGTGACTGTCCGAACGCTTTGGTTTATGTAAAAACATTAACAGCTTTAAGTACGACTCATCGTTTGCATTGTTTGGGCTGGAGTCTGTGGTTTTTAGGCAAAGACAATAAATGGTCATCGATAAATGTTACGATTCTTTGTTTATTTGGAGCGAAATGATGAGGATTAACCGTTTGACTTTTGTTAGTCTTGTAGAGTAACTCACATAGTTTTTGATTCGACTACTAGAGATAGCCGTAGTTTGGCAGACTAGTATTTGAACTGGGTGATGATTGAAGGTGAGATGAAAATCTGGACCGCGGCCTGGTTCGAACCAGCGACCACCGGGTTACCGGCTCGGCGCTCTACTAACTGAGCTACGGGGTCCGACTGCTGACCAGAAATTTATTCCACTTCAATCACCAAAGGTTTTGCCCGACTACCATATAAATTCGTGACGCGTTACTACCGCTTGATCGTATTCACACTGGCTGCCTAGTCAGGGCTTCTCACCCAAATCCAAATCTAACTGAATCAGAGAGGAGGAGCATTATATTGATTATGATTTGCCTATCTGAGCCGTAGTTTTCGTGACCCGTATCATTGATTACTTAATGGGGATTCATACTTGGAAAATTCTCGAATTTATACTCGTAGCAGGTACGTTTTACTTAAAGTTTCCAAACGGGAAATTATTTTCGAAGTAACATCAACCGGTATTTCTGCAAAAGTTGATTCTTCGTATATTCTGAGTTTTGAAACCAGTTAACTACTATGTGGCTGGAAGCGATCGAATCGTTAAAACAAGTCAACATTTTATGGAAAATTTATTGTTTCTGAGCTTTGAAACCTGAGTTCGTAATTTATGCTGGAATTCGAGAATAAGTATACATAACAAGTTTTTGTATGATTGATTAATCATTTCTGACTGATTGTCTATAGATTAAAGAACAGATGATGCGAACTTGACCGTTGATGCTCTGAAATGCGATTTTAATTCCTGTTACTATGAATTGCACTCTCTTATGCCGTTATACATCTAAAGTCCCAATGGTGTCTTTTCTTGCTCTACATTTTCTGTTTATCGGTTTTCAAGGCTTTCACAAACTAATATACATTTCAGCGTATTATTGTGAACTGAATAATCAGTAGCTTTCTAGAATTGCTCTGGTGTTATAAATTCCATTTCATTTTTTCCCCTAATTTAGATTATATAAAAAACCTTTGTAACACGTCGTTGTCAAATAGCGAACTGCTGAAAAATTTGAAGAAGCTCATTCCCTTTGTTGGACAGCAGTACAGTAATATGCCTTGTCAATATTCACGTCATGATTCTGTTCCGAATAGGTTGGAAAGTGATCATATCGAGTATTTTCCTGAGACCCATGCTAAGAATGTCATGGATGATTTACCACATGATATCGAATCAGTATCACAAAACTTTCTAAGCACTAAGAGGCAGTACTTAGAATTAGTTAGTAAAAGCTTTGTATCTTCTCTTATTGATGACCATGACGCTTTGATCAAGGAAGTTCATTATAATCATGTTCCATTGCGTGAAGTGGCAGTTCAGACATCTATCGGCCAACTTTTTATCTCCACAATCCTTCATACATCCTTCAACGAAGACGATCGAAAGTGGTTACTTTCTTCGATTCGGAGTAAATACAAGGCACTGTCAGGAGAAAACAATGTATCACAAAAACAAAATTCCATAGATGATAGTCTTCGTTCGAAATTGTTTGACTGTCTGATTGATCTTGGTTTGGATCTCACTTGTGCTTTGCAGCGTATGACGTCAGGTTAGAATGTTTTATGCCTTTATATATTTCTTGTTGTTATATATGACCTCTTATTCGGTTTCATTTTACTTTTGAGCATAGTGCTATAAAACAAGGTCATTGGTCTAAGGAATCTAGTTCCAACCAGTAGGTTGCAGTTTTATGCCTCAACCCACTTATCAATGCTTGAACAACCAGGTAGTATCAGTTACCTTTCATACAATAGGAGTGAGTACTCCTCAAGCATCTAAACATGCATGTGGCTGTTCAGTTGTTTTTTTAAGGAAGTACTTCTCAATCCAACATATCTATAGTGTAGTCCTTTTCTTCTGTTCCTCCGTTTAAGTGACTGAATCACCTTCAATTTGCAAGGTGGTTTTGAAGCAACAATCGACGTTAGTAAATAAAAGTATGTTAACTATTATACCCGTCATGATAATTTTTTTTCTAAGCCTAATAGGTCTCAGAAGGAATTTTAAGGCAGATACATTCAAAGCAGAGTTTCCCGCTTACCTCAAGCATACTTTTTGTGTCATATCCTACCATAAACATGAAGCCTATGGTGTGTATTACTCTCGGTTCTGCTAATTAGCTATAGGAATTTTAGGCAGAAGATATGGATTTTTCTATTTTCAATCTTTTCCCCGTTCAACACCAGCAAAATTTGTTGGGGGGTCGCTAATTAAGTAATACATCTTATTATCGGGTTATTTTGACTTGTGAACCTAATGGCTATCTATATCTTCTGAGGTGGCTTATAACCAATCTATACGGAAAAAGTGATAGATGGTTCAAGCATCCAGTCAAAAATATTGAATCAAAGCATCTTAACAAAAATGCGGTACGGCATATGAACCAGAAGAAAAAAAAACTGTCCTATATAGCATACCGTAGAAAATGGGTATCAAATCATTGAGTCTGTAGAAATCACTGGTGATTTACAATAAACGATGTTAATGCAGAGCTTTTTACTGTTGTGATTGAATGTGTTCTTAACTCGTTCCTAAGGTAACCTTATTCTATACATCTGTTGTGCTTACTCGTATAATTTCATATCCAATGTTTTTGAGAAGCATGACTTGGTTTATTGGGTCTATGTACGTTAGTTTTTGGTCATATAATCTGGATATAGTAAACAAGATTATCTACTGTTTTTGTGCGGCCTGATTGTTTTATTACAACTGACAGTTTGTCCCTTCGCCAAGTATCCAAGTTTTTCTTTGTCTGGTTTCCTTATTCATCATTCCTCTATTGTTATGGTAAATAATAGACTAGTTACTAAATGGCCTACTTAGCTTCATTTTAATTGCAAAAATCCAGATCTATTCAATCTATGTTTAGAAAGATTAATCAACCTGGATAAATTAACGTTAAAATCGATCGGACTATAATATTTAGAAGGATGATATTAAAATTATAGTTTCTGTCTGTGCATGATTGTTAAGGACTGATATTCTGTATAAAAATTTCAAAATTCAAACCTACTGTGACGCTGAGCTGTTTCCCTACATGTTAATGTCGTGAACTGCTTAATACTTGGTCTTCCCTATTTCATTTATTGCTACCTTGGTTTATCAATCTCTGGAGAATTGAATAATTTTCTTTACGGTGGCACACAATTTCAATTGGCTTTGATTCACTTGTTCGGACTCTCAATTCTCATTTGTCAAGTCTTAAAGTTCAAACTTAATTCCATCTACCATTGTATAAAAGCAAAGTAGCGGTATTAGTTCTCGCTCAATGAGTGCAGTCAGTATCGTTATACAAAACTTACTCATGGTTGCTGGCACGCAAGCTATACAGTGTTCATTGTCTTGAATGTTGTTAGTGTAAAAACCACCAGTTACCTTAATGTTTTATGAAGATGGATCAACTTGTGTACTGTCTTGTTATTCGCTCGACTGGAACCTTCGAAAATCAATGATATTCTGTTGTAGCTTATCTCATGAATCTTTTCCTACCTGCACACCTCATGTAAAGTAAAGTTTCTTATCTCGTGCACATTCTGAACAGCTGCTTCTGATGTTCAGATACCTTCCATATATTTTTGCTCTTTCATGTGAGCTGTGAAAGCTGTGCAACACAATTTTCGTGACCAAAGTAGCAGACATGTGAATTCCTCCCAGTAAACTGAAAGCTAACATATTATAAAGCTTTTTACCAAGGTAATGATAATTTCTAATTCAAATAATTTTTTTTAATCTTTACTTGTGATCCTCTAGACTCATCACTGTCCCATTCATTGACTTCTTCTGGATTTCTGTCGGGTTCTGGTGGTTCGGATAGTCAGTATGATTTACTCATGGAAGCTTCTAATTCTGGATCTCAAACAATGAATCCTAACAACGGTATGAATAGTACCAAGGCAAATTACGGTACATTGTTAACTGTTCCGAATGCTGACGTTAAGTGTGGCTTGTCAAGCAACTTCTGCAACAATCACTCGTACTGTCTCCATCCAATAAATTCATCATCTCATCATTCATATCGAAGGCTATCTGATATCCCTAACGTATCCAACTTCCATTCCACTTCGTCTTCACAACACCATACTCATGTGACACTAACTGACTATAATCAAGAAAACAAAACATCAAAAACGATTGACTCAGGTGCAAATCCAATCTTTGCTTCAAAGTCAAAAGATTTTTTAGTAGTCAGTCCATCTGACTTCACATCTGTTCAAACTCCGGCGGTTGATGTAGCTAGTGGACAGATAAACCTCTCTCCAAATGATACTTGTCAACAAAGGGCATCAATAAGTACACTAAGTGATTCGAGGGCAATTGCACCAAGTAACCCAGACCCAAGTGTAAGTTGCTTAAATATAGTACTTAATTCGTAGATCAGCAAGTAATAGTTAACAGTCAATCAGAAATGGTTTTTTACTATTGCTACCTCGTGTGAGATATCACTTGCACGTTTAGTTGAAACCGTGTGAGTAGTATTCTTTCCTAAGTGTCCACACAGTACAGGAAGTGGATCTAAGGACTGATTTCAAATTCTTTCGGAGGTTTATTGAATCTGCTGTTAGTTTTGCGATATTTATCCTGTGGGGTTACTTGTGAAATTATTGCGAGAGGTGAATACATTTGTTAGCTTGCTGTCTGTTTGATGTATTTCTTCAGATATGTAAGTCGCTCTAATGATGCTTTGGGAATAATAAGTTTTATCTAGATGAGCCGATGTGCTCATGTAGTCTTCTGTTTTTACTGTGCTCGAAAGATATCACAGCGATAGCTGGAAAACTAAATACAGAAATCAAAAGTTTAGCTTCAGAGGAGGATTATTTAGATGGTCATTGGTATTGGACGGTCACAGATCGGATAATGAGAACTGTCTTCAGCAGTTTTGTGCAAACCACGTCTTATTTCTAGCAAGTACCAACTTCTGGTTTGGTTACCGCTGTTTTGCTGTCTGGTTTCCTCCGTCTGCTAATCATGCCCGGGACTGAGATGGATTTGAGTTTCAGTGGGAATACCACTCACTAGGATGAACACACATCCAGCTGTTGAGTTGCAAATAGGGCGGAACGCACATACTGAATTACACTGCAAGCCAACGAAAATTAAATTGCATCAGAGTTGAACTTCAAAGCACATCGAGGCCTTTGCATGGGAACCCATATGTCAACAGACACCGATCAATTTAGTCCAGCACAGCTATCAACAGAAAGGTGTATCAATAAACACAAATTAGACCACATAGAAATTAGCTACTGATGGCACGGTTCCATCTAAGACAGTTATACCTTCTGAGAGCATTTGCTCAGATTCTTACAGAGTTGCATTGTGTAATAAATTCAATTTTTTATTCTTATGTTAATTAAAGTCGTCATCCTGAACAGGTTGATGCTAGCAAGTTGGTTGCTCCCAGTATTGTAGCCAAATAGCAAATCAAGTTAGGTCCAAAGCTAGCTGTCCAACGTTCATAAAGTACAGTTGAACATTGGTTGAACTTAGAAAATGCAGTGAAAACGGCCCATGACTCCAGTTACGGCGTCAGAAACGTCCTGCTAATGAACAATGGTCCTCTATCAGCTCCTTACAAATTTTTAACGCTCATCGGTATATTCCGGCAGACATAATCCAAGTCCCTGATGCGACAGATCACGTAGCGTTTATGTTAGGTTCACTAGGCCTAGTATTCAGAATATGTGAGTGATTAGAATGCAGCAGCTGCATCTGCCAACAGTCGTAATTTGTTCCATCACATTCAAGCCAATGGTGACGAGGATTTTGTTGTCAGTGAAACGGCTTGTGAAGTAGATGGTACGCCATTTAACAACCGTCGTAGCCGGATAAAACTCTGGATGGAACACTTTGGTCTATTATTTCAGTGACATTTACTTCAGTATCTTGTACTCCATATTTAGCTCAGTCGATTCACTTGACGGAGCAGAGGTTTGAAAAAAACTTCAGGTATTTAAGTGGCATAAAAAACTGTAGTTATGGAACTCCCTGTGTTTTCTGAGGTGTGAACAATTGAGAGTCCCATCAACCTAGAACAGAACTATTTTTGCACCTATCTTTAAAAAATGCTACGGAACGTGTATGAGAATTATCGGGATATCCTGCTACTAGTAGCATCTAAAACATTTCTTGACATTAGATAGCTTTCGATTCGTCGAACAGGGTTTTGCTCTAAAAATTTCCATAATTCGGTTACACAGCATCTTGGATGTGAGTATCAATTGAAGATGTCGTTTTAGGGGTGCAGGTATACCTTCAAATTTCACGGAGGAATAATGTTGGGATTACTAATATTCTCAATCATTGGGAATATTTTTATTGGTAGATGAAATGGTTTACTTTCAAGATTTAATCCTGCTCCTAAGTTACAGCAATGATATGTGTTTGATGCATTTGTTGTGTTGAAATCGGGATATATCTATGGTTTCGTACTCAAACTCAGTGTCAGATGCTGTGTATAAAACGGTATTTCTGTTTGGTCGATTTGCTGATAAAATAATTATGGATTCAGTTGTTAAGACAGAAAATGAAAAGATGAGATATGGCTAAGAGAACAGATTTTTTGATTGGTTGCATTCGGTTTACGACCTTCATAGACTTGTCTTTCCATTGTTTTCTTTCAGCAATACTATGTTGTGCTCATAGTCTCCGTCCTGCATATGCATTTTTGTAGATATTTTCTCGTTTGTACCTCTCACTAGGTAAAAGTCTTCGTGTCTGCTAAATGTATGCTGACACTTTTTCCGATTATTGTAGAATCCGAGTTTAATTTGAATGGAGCACTGTTTGCGTGCTGACTTCTGACTGGGTTCTGAAGTCCGATTAACATTGGGTGTCGAAATGTTCACTTAGAAAAAAATTGAATAATATGTACATATTTCCAAGATATACTGCGTCATATGCCATCCTTCGTATTCTTTTATTTTGTGAATTGATGGGTTATATTTGGATCTCATTTACTTTCTATACATTCACTTCTAATATTTAGGTTTGTATCTCACAAGAAGTACTTTCGGTTCATAAATCACCAGAACCTGTGGAGAGTTATAAACATCTTATGAAGTACAATGGGAATTCACCCTCTCAGTTTCTCGTGGGAACCTCTGAAGGTGACTGGATTTCTGACTCTCCTTATTCCACAGCAGCTGAGCATTCCAACCTTGTGAATGATCGTCACTTATCATCACTTAACATTAATATTCATCCTCATCCAGTCTCACAAGGTCATCATCATGAAGAATTACCCGATAATTCTATGAATTTTTCTGAAGTACAAGACGAGTCAGCTCATTTCGGTCCTTCTGTTGTTTTGGCTCAACTAGTTAATTCTCATGATGGTAGGCATATTTCGCGTTATGTCAGTGAAGAAAATAATTTCTTAAACCCATCTTCTGGAATGACAGGTATGTATTGTATTTTATATTTTCAGAACTAGTTTTATCAATAGAGAAATGAAGTTTTTTTGGTTTTTGTTGCATGCGTAAGCCTATGAACCTATTGAAACAAAGATGCGCTTTTTCTCATTTACAAACTTGAATAGCTCAGAAACAACAAGTGTAGCGAGATAAAATGAAGCATACAGTTTGCAAGACAGAATTTTATGCCGCTTATTTCGATTATACTTTCGTCATTTGCAATGATTTTTATGATGCATCTCATATACTGAATCTTCTCAACGATGTTCATCCTAATATAAAATACATAGTAGCGTATGAGCACGATAACTAGTTTTATTTGCTCAGAATTCAAAAGTACGTTCATCGAAAAGAGACTTAAAGTGAACTTCATTTAAACTTCAAGAGCTTCTATCCCATAAGGTGAAAAAATGGGGCTGGTTAAAACGCTATTTAAACATACGAAAAGGTTGCTCTCGGAAGAACTTGGAGAGGAGTTATCTGTTTTTAAGAAACCTTTGCGTGATAGTTATCATCTGTAGAAGTCCATTGATAAATGCGGGAAGTCTAATATGTAAAGAATGGAGTGCAGCACAGTAGAGAAGTCTATCTTTTTACAACTTGCCTCCAAGAGTGGTGAAATTGATGCGGGAATTGAATGCCAACTAAATACTACACTTAACGAAAGGCATCAGACCGCTAATGCGATTTGTCTATACTAGATGAGTTGTTTGTTGTGGCGATCGAAAGTGACCATATTCGCATCTCATGTCACCTCTAACTGCGTTTACTAATTTAGATGTACGTGCGAAAGCACATACGTCGGAAGAACATAGAGGAGGTATTTTGTTCAGATTTCTGAGCACTTCCCGAACAATCTCAGATTAAGGAGTCCACATGCACTGAACAATGCGATCGCACTTCACCTGATTGGTACAATATACAGCGTAAACAGCCTCAATTCGTTTGAAGTAATCAACAGGCGAAAAAACTTGAACCTATTATGTTTCTCCCGTATGGATAGGGATGAAGGAACTTGAACCAAATTTATGTATTCAACAAGATACAGTTGTCAACCCCACATTTTTGTGGTAATTAGTTTACAACGTTAAATTTCAATAGATAATGTCGGTGACGATCTCTTCTACTTTAACGCCTTACATTATTCACTATGTTACCGGTTGATCCTGTCACTAACTTCTGGTCAACTTGGTAAAAGTATGTACGTTTTTTATGTAGGCATTTTGATATTATTCGTAAGCAGTTAAGAAGAGTCATCGAAATTGAAACGAACTCGTACTATACTAGTGTATTTGTTGTTTTCGCAATTTCAGTGTGGAACAGTGTATACCTAAGAGCAGTGCTTGTAGTTTTAGTGGTGACGAATTACATTGTGTTGAGTAAGGCTTTGTGGGGATTTTTTCTACGGCTTCCATATTCATTTGAAGCATTTGTGAATGATTTTTAGTGGTATATATTTGAATGCATTGTCATCGAATAGATGAGTGTCGGAATCAATTACTTTCACAGAATCTAAAAAATACCATCCAAAGGTGAGGTTTATTGGTGATTTCTTCGTCCACAAGGACTGTCTCTACCATGTAAAACTTATTGTTTTTATTCTCTTCGCATATTACTTAAGAATTACTTGTTTTTACTCGTGTTCTATTTCTGAGCTTCTGATTTCCAGTTCAGAACGTATCTTATTATCGATCTATATTCACCTTTTGACCGTGTTAGGTATTTTTTCAAATATGACTAGTCTGTTATGCAAGTTATTATCATTCCTAAAAATCTTCACATAGCCTTTAAAAGAATCAAAATCACTTAACTATGCAAATATGGACTGTTTAATCAAAGTATGTAGTAAATAAGAACTACTGGTCTTTTTCATACTTCAAGCTATAAGATTGTGGAGGTGTACGATCAAATGTGTTGTACTGAAAGCACTTAGATTGTTAGGTTAGAATTTTACCACTTTTACAGGGTTATATGCTGTGATCATGATTTTAATGCTGAAAAAATAGCAGACTGTTTATTCTTCTGCATAGATTGCTGATACGAAATAGCACGTAGCGATACAGTATTACTTACTGAATGAAATTTGACTTTTATAGTTCAACAGTTCTTCATTCTTTTATTTTTGATTGTAGTAGAGTCTTTTCATTGTCTTATGAATCATTCCTGTCACATTTATTGACTCAGCGAACAAAGATTCTGTAGTCAAGCTCTTCTTTATGCCTAACCGTATTGAGTTTTAGAACTGCCATCCCTCCCACTCCATAATGTGGTTATGAGTTAGTGCACGCAGAGCGATAGCAGAGCTTCTTTCTATATAACTTATCCTAGTGGGGTCTGTCATTCTATATTTCACTAAATTTTTGTGCTCCGCTATCTTAACCAACCTCAGTCGGTCACTTTGACCCGTGCACTTGACTTCCAAATCGAGAAAGAAACCGAAGCACACTCAGCTATTTTGTGCACATCCATGCAGTAGGCAGTGAATCACAACTATTGTGTAAGGGCTAGGTATATCACCTGGCCGCCCAAACCTCGGTAGGTGGGGCGGGATTTGAACTCATGACCCACTGTTTGATAGCCATCTTTCTAAACCAATGAGCTACAGCTTTACTGACCCTACACTCATTACGTGGTGTTTGATATATGTGGTCATTTTACTAAATTGCTTCTACTGGATTGTTTCGCGCGTAAATTCCCTCTCTGAGTAAGTTTATGGGCTTAAACGCAGCCTTAATCTCAGTATTTTTAGGAATTATACGTGGACGTTGCTATGTCCCTCCTTTATATGACAGTACTAGAGAATTTGAGTTGTCTTTTAGACATGTTGCATTTATCACAAATAGAGTTCCTCTCTCTCTCATGAGTCTTTATAAACCGGATGTGAGTCATAAAGTAGTACTTGTAAGGTTCACTTGAATAAGTGCACCTGAGAGTCGTGTATAATTATGTTTTTCTGGTAGCAATAATTAGTGGTTCTGTGTTTAGTGATATTTTTATAAATATTTTTACATTGACATTTGAGGTGACTAAGACCAAGCAAGTTTCAGGCTACAGCTAGCAAACGATGACTGACAAGTTCAGTGTGACTGAATACCAAGTCATAACTTTAACCGATCAGACAACAGCCAATGTCCAGACAACAGCAGACAGCCAATCAGAAGAAAGTAAGAAACTACACAAAAAGCACTAGCAATATAGTCACTAACATTGAGAAGTGTTACAGTAGTGTCTCTTATATCTCTTTGAGTTCCTCATTTAGATTTTCTGATTTAATGGTCAGACTCCTAGCGCGATTACTTATACATTTTACCGAGGTTCCCTTGACAAACAAGATGAGACGATATGACATTCAAGTATCTAGAAGACATAGATTATCTGGAAAACATGATGTATTTGCGCTACACATTTCGAACAATCTGGTCACACATTTACTTGTTAAGGCATTATATATGTCTCAAACCTCGTTTGACTCGCTAAATCTCATACTGATAGTTGCAGTAAGAAGTTAAATGGATGTTCATTCTTCATGTGTGCTGTCTGATATTTCGTTAATTTATCATATCAAGTTCGTCAATTTTTGTAGTTCTGTCGTCATTAAGTCAAAGGAGAGCAAATTTATGGCTGATGTTCCATTGGACGACCTTAGAAAATTAGAATGCAAAGTCTGGTAAAACTCTTGAATATCTTGAATATCAGCAAGGTAGAATTCACTTTCCTCAAACCAATGGGGTCTGAGCTACCTAAAATTCATAAAACTAATAATCCTTTACGTGTCCTATACTCTCTATGTTCCGTTCACCTACACATAAATTGGCGAAATGGTTAGCGAAAACTTTAGTTCCTATTCGAAATGAATTATATAAGTTCTCTTTAAAAGATACTTTTGAACTTGTTGGTTATGTTAGTGATAATAATATCAAAGATAAGAGGTTGTATTCATTTGATGTCAACTCCTTATTTATTAATATACCCCTAATTAAAACCATTGACATTTTTTGTGACCATATATCTTCCAGTAATCCTTCTTTCCCTATCCCCTCAACGTGTTTAAGAGAGCTGTTATTATTGTGTATTGATAAAGTTCATTTCACATTTGAAGGTGAACATTTTCGATAAATAGATGATGTGAGCATCGGAAGTTCCTTAGGACCATCGCTAGCTGATATTTACATGTCACACATTGAAGGCTTGATCGGCGATCTCATCAGTAAAGTTACTCTCTATAAGAGATATGTTGACGATATAATCGTGATATGCGACATGTTTGTTAGAAAGGCTTAACATCGTACAAAACAACATAAGCTTAACATGTGAAGAGAGATAGAGAACCGTCTGCCGTTCTTGGATATACTCCTAAGTCGTAGAAATGGAGTCATGATAGTTCAATAAAATGGTCGATTTACTGGAAACCCACTTGGACAGGTCAGTACTTAAGTTTTCATAGCTTTTGTTCAAACGAGGTTTGGTAACTTGCCTATTTAAAAGGATCCAGCGTATTTTTACGGAACACTCAATGGATGATGATTTCAAAATACTAACTGGAACATTAGTGGAAAGTGGATATCCATTGAAGTTCATAAACCGCTGCAAAAATCAGCAAGGATTCAAACCTAATCTATACTCTGTTTCGAAGAAATGCGTTTACATCGCGTTACCATGCAGAGGAGAATCTAACAGCATAATATTAAAACGAAGGTTAAGGTCTGCTGTTAGCAAAACGTACTATGCAGCTAAGCTTACCGTAGTTGAGAAGACCAAACACCTGCTGCAACCTAGACCTCAAGGCTGTATAAACGATTGCGTCACTTCCCACTGCGTTTATAAATTTACATGTATGTAGACAAATACATAGGGAGGACTAATCGTGATATGCACTCGAGGGTAGAGGAACATGTTCCAAAATGGCTACGAAAGCAGCTGGATTCACAAACGTTGGTAAGCGCAGATGGCAAAACGTATCATTGATAAGAGTCACAGCATTGATATCAAAACAGCCTTTACAATTTTGTATAGAAACTGTCAGGGGCATATACTTAAGTTTGTTGAGGCGCTAGCCATAAATAAATTTAACCCCCTATTGTGTGTGCAAAAACAGTTTGTCCTTACACTAAGCCTACCTTGATAATGCTTATTTTATCGTATTACCAAGACTGTCTTCAAATTTCATCTTTTCTCCTTTCACTATCTTTCTTATTATTGAATTCTTTTATGTTATATTTGTCCTTCCGCCACTTCAAGTTTTCATATATAATGCCTTAACAAGTAAATGTGTGATCCGATTGTTCGAAACGTTTAGTACAAATACATAACATTTTTCAGATAATCTACGTCTTCTAATTACATTATCCAAATTCATAAAAGGGACTAATTGTTTCAAATTCAAGTATCTATTCGAGTGTCATGGTTTCCTGTAAACACTGATATCTAAAGTACCATTTTCTGTTCTTTTGTTTGTGCAATCTAGCATAAGTGGTTCTCTTTCATTGTTTAATTCATAATGAATTAGAATTGCATCTAATATCGATTTTTAATCTGTGAAGAAACTCTCGGTATGTTCTAATTTTAACGCAGTGAATGTGTCATCGATGTATCGGAACTGTACTTTTGGGGTGGGTAAGGTTGTTGAAAATAAGGAGCTCTAACTTATTGAAGAGATCCTAGTACTTAAGAAACATTCTGCCTTTATGAAAGAATAAGAGGATGCAAATGACAAATGCAATTCGTTTCTTTTGATTGTAACTTTTTTTCACTAGTTACTTCGTTAATATCATGTTATGCATTTTGTATTACATTTCCTGGTATACAGTGATCTAAACTTGCTAATTCTTCATATCTGTATCGATATATAACTATTCTTATTCATTATTACTGTTGTTGTGCTTGTATATCTCTTTCATGTACTCATTTCATTACGTTTAGCTGTTCCACATTGGTTAAAAAGCCTACGACTGCATAAGTATGCTGGTTTATTCCAAAACTTGCTGTATGATGAAATGATGGATATTACTGATGATTGGCTGAAGGAGCATGTAAGTTACACTGACTTGATACTTGGTTGATAGATAATTTTATTTCAAAATCAAACTTGCATATTTGGTTAAAAGACGAGTGGAATAGTGTTTATACGACAGACAGTTGAACATCGACTCCAAAAAGGTCAGTGTTTATTAAACTGCCTTTTAAAGGAGATGTCCTAGAGGTGGTTAAGTTAAGGCTAGACAAGGCCATTAAGAGAACTTATTATGCAGCTAAGCGCCACCAGGCGAGTGTTGCAGCAATGAGGAAAAGACATGACTCCAATCGTCTACACATCTAACTGTATAGGCCAATTGGAATGCACTTGTGGGACCAAATATGTAGGTCGTACGGAAAGGCATCTGTTTACTCGCATGACTGAGCATTTACCTAAATGGTTGAGGCAAGCCGAATACAAATCACGCGGAGTTCGATTACGAAACACCTAATGGATTATCTACACGACGTTGACACCACTAAGGCCTTCTCGGTTATCAGTAAGTAGCGAATAAAAAAATGCTTGCAATCGTGGAAGCATGTGCGATTAGAGTTCGTAAACCGAGGCTATGTGTACAGAAGTAGATGGTAGTCATCCCGAATCTACCATGGTAGAGGTGTTGAAGTATTTTGAACTTGTTTATTTCTATTTATAAATGTCTTGTTTTTTCCACTTTATTTCTTCCTATACTTCTCATATTTACCTCTTCACTATCATTCTGCAGTACTATCATGTCCTCCTGAACTTCTCTGCTTACTTGTCATATGACTTATCTCCATTGTTATTATCATTGTTATCGTCCAGCTGTTACTCTAGTCTCCTTTGTTTTTACACTGTTACCAAGCTTCTTAATTGATGTTCATTTACCTTGTTTCAAAATGACGTAATCTTTAGTCTTTTCAATATTCATACTGGGTGATAATTGAAGGTGAAATGAAAATCTAGACCGCGACTGGATTCGAATCAGCGACCACCGGGTTTTCGGCCCGATGCTATACCAACTGAGCTACGAGGTCCAGGACCTCGTATAATTATCATCATTATTATTATCACTCACTCGCATTACTACTACTACAGTTTTGTTTACTTAACACATATTCTCTTAGTGAGCATCTTTATGAAGCTACTTAGTTGACTAATAATTGTTCTGTCAGAAATGACGTAATCCATCCCTAGCCCTTTTATTTTTCATCATCAATTCTTTACCCCCTCCGAACCTCCTAATCCTAAGGTCTGTTTGCTATAAATAAATGATTCATTCCGTGTCGCCATGCCTCAGTGAATATCTTAGTCTGTATTATATGTGTATGTATTCCTTCATTGCACAACAGTATATAAAATCATGCATGTAGAATAAAAAGCTGATGAGTCCTGCTGAAATTTATGGATTCAATAAATCCTGCTTTAATTACATTTGTTGCTTGTTTTAGAACATTGTTAAGCTATTTAAATACGCTTGTATGCAACCGCACGAAGTCTAATTTTTTCGAATTGCGTCCTATCTGAACGAATTGCCAATATACAGCTTAAAATCAGTAAGCAGTTCCTGGGTGGGATGAGTAATGATAGCCCTATTTATTTGAACTAGTTCACTGATTACATTTACACTATCTCTATCTTCGTGACTGGTCAAGATTGCAACCCTCGAAGAGATAAATTTGTGTAATTAGTCACATATTTGAATTTTGATGGGATCATTTTCATGTGCTCAAATTATTTTGACTTTAGATGAATCTCATGTCTCAGCAAATGTGTGTGTGGCAACACAAACAAAAAAGATCCATCTTTCAACCGGACACAGCGGGCAAGAGTCGGATAAAGACAGCTGTTTGTACAACTAGAGCATGTGTAAGGGATCAGCACTAAAGGTTTTCAAGATCTCGTTACAAGTTTTACTCCAGTTTTGTAAACATAGATATAGTTCTTGATTGGAAGGTAGTATAAAGCGCAGCAGTGAAGTATTTGTTGTAGAAACGTAGTACTATAGTGGTATGCTTGTATAATTTTGTATATGTACAACGGTGATCTAACGATAAGAATGTTGGCGATCTCATTATCGGTGCTCACTATTGAGTCCCATGCTAAGGCAAACAGCTGCCCAGTGCTCTTAGGTTTCTCATATTTCTCCAACGGATGTCAGTCCATAATAAATACCAACCTGAAATCAGAAAGGAAATTAAAATATGAAACTTCTAAAAAGGCCTTGTATGACGGCTCTCAAGCAGATGTCGTTTTGGCTCTGCAGTCAAGCACTAGTCCTCCGACCTGCTTAAAGCTATTGGCTACCTAATTTTTTCCATCCAATATTTTGCATCATGTTCACTCTATTGTAATTGTCCAATTATGTACTTAAATCGTATCAAATAATCACGCGAGTTTTTAAAACGTCATCTACGTATCACTATAAGTTTAACAAATGTAATTAAGAAGAGATATCTTGGTGATAGGCAGCGCACTGTAAAGCGAACAAAGCTACATCAAATGGTGTCACTTGAAACACTCAGTTCAAACTACATATCTGTACTAGGTAAAGTGGGCTACTTACAATGCTGTGTTCTGATGTTTATTATAACACTGGTGTATTACATTTCCATAATCTGATAGGATATTCTTGACTGACAATTGATTAATATGTTTATTTAAATAGAAAAAAGCTGTACAGAGGAATTTCAAGAGATCAATTGGCTTTATTCAACCACTTTTTGTATCCCATGCCTTTTTCTCAACCACTGTTGAAAAATGTTAAAAGCTTTTTTAATGAATTTCCCTCACAACGTTTTTTTCAGCTGTTTTACGTTTTTTTTGCAATGCAGGACGTTACACAGGGAGCAAGAAATAAAATCCTGTTGAGCATTGAAAGACTGAAACATAGAAAATCTGTTCTATGTGGGATGGAGAAGCGTCTCTCAGAAGTTCCATCAACAGGTCAGCTAGCTCGAGCTGCATTACATTCTTGTTTGTCCGAAATTAAATATATCCTACTAACGCCAATCAAACCGTCATTCGAATCAACAGCTCATTCAATGCATTTATGTCAACCTGTCGGTTCTCCATCTTCATCCTCTGATGTCATAGGCTCAAGACAGTCATCGGTGATGACGACCAACACCAGAACTAATTCAACCCATCTAATGAGTCCAATAACAGTAACTACTTCAACAGATAATGCTAACAATACTGGTACTGTAAACAATACAGTTGATGGGGATATTAACGATAATAATGGAAACAACAAGTATAACTGCAGTACAAATGTCATAAACTCGGTAAATAATATAGCAAAGGACTCCACTTCTACTGTTTATTACTGCTTTTGTAATGCGTATCCTTCCTGTGCGGAAAGCTCCTGTTATCTAAATGAAGAGCAACAACAACACCATAGAATGACGACTCCTAATCAAATATTCCATGAGAATAAATCTTTATCTCCTCCTGGTCCTAATGTTTCACTGGATATTTCTTATGGTAGTAATAGATACGCAAATAGCATGTATAACAATATACCACCGTCCTTAATTATTACCACTGAATCAAAGAAAGTCAGTCAAAATAAAGAGGAAGTTGGTAGCAGTGAATACGACGACACCGAAAAAGACGATAGTAGTGACAAATATGGTGATGGAAACATACCTGGATGTATCATTAACTGTTTAACAAAAGGTTAGAATTCTCTTAAGTAATGGTTTTAACTTTTATTACGTTCCAATCTACTGGACACACTAATTTAGCTCAAATTCTTCCTCACTCATCATTCATTCAAAATTCGCAAGGTCTATGCCAGGATGATATTCCTAATTTCATAGCAAACGTCTTATACCATGATAAGAATGCTAAGACCATTAAAGAAACAAGACAAAACATGGTTGTAGCGAAGAAAAACTTTTCTGTTCGATAAAGTTATTTACTAAGCTGTACATTCATGAATATATGTTACAGTTGGTAGAACGTTCTAGAATTATTTCCGGTTAGGAGGCAAAAATGATGAATAACTAAAGGAAGTTAGTGAATACACGTTTGGGTTTCGACCGGGAAATAGACAAGGAATTATGAAATTAAATGTAATAAATGCATGGCAAAGTAGGAAAACGTTTGAAGGGTTATGAGAAAAAAATGTAATTGCATAACACAGGTTAAATCTATGACAGAGTCAGAAAATAAACAGGGGATTATGGAAATACATGTATAGTTACCTAATACAAGATGAATCTATGACGGTCAAGGCTTTATGATGGACATGGCAAAGATAAAGGTTGAACGTACGTTTTTTAACGCATAACGCTAGGTTTGAACTTCTGGATGGCTAGTGCTTCAGCTATTTCCGAATTTCTTGATGTTACTCCCTTCACGATTAAATGATGTGAAGAATTTATCATATCTAGTATTGCAAGGAGTGGAATGCCTTCTTTTTGTATCTTGTGAAGATTGCATAAATGAGAGATCGTGGAACTTGATGGGTGAAGTTGTCCGCATAGTTCTTTGCTAATCAGTGGTTCATCTTTCATTTTCTTCAGTATTTTCGATAACTGCATCTCTGATTGCTCATTAGGATCTTTCTGTGTTGTCTGTTTTAAGAATTTATTTTCATTGGACAGTAAGAGGGATAGTTTTTCCAAGTAGTCTTGCACATCACATGACCCAATGATCTACATCTGTTGGATACTAGTTTGACGGAAAACGGTTACCATCATAATGTAAATTGTAACGTTATGATGGGCAAAAAACGTGTCCGAGGGAAAAGTCTTATTACTGATTGAACGGGTTATGACAAGAGTTAAGTGTTTCATAGAGATGATCAGCCATACATGCGGATTTTGTCATCCTCATGGGAGTGATTGGTTAGCCAAGTTCGGTGCGAAAAATAACACTCCTCCCTATCCAGTGATATTCTGGTACTGTCGGTATTGGTCTTTTTCATCCAGTGATAACAAAATCGAATTTCAAACCAGTATTCCTAAAAAAGTCATATGTGACACCCACTCCAAGTGTATGTCCCATCGGCTCTGTGGTCACAAAACTAATGCATTTTCTCTTTCAATTACCTCGTAGGCTCAACTTCCAAAATGTGGGTAACCGGAAAGTACCAACTACCCACACTCCCCCAGCAGCATACAAAACTTGAATAAACATAATGTATATGACCTAACTTTTCACCTTCCTTACTTTCACTTTCTTATACCAATATTGAGCCTTGAATATGTTCCTTAGACTCTGTAACTGCAACCATTGCTACTAATCCAAGCCAGCGAAACATTCTTTGTCTCCCAAAAACCCCACTGTTGGTTTCACATTGAAACTGTCAACGTCCCAACCCTATGCCAAATCGAACAACTGGAATCTTGAACCACAGATGTATGCTGTGTGTCTCAGACTCGTGTACAAGACACGAGTTTGATTATGCACTAAACCTCACCTGGCCATTGCAGTGAATATTCAAAATCCACTTTACGAGTTTCCGGAGACCCAATGATTAACTGTCGTAAATTCACTGGTCTAGGCTTACCATCAAGTTGTCAATTAAAAAGTTCACTCCTCGACTGAATAACAGTCAAGATCTGTCTGTGTGCTACTTGACTGAATGGATCTGTAAGAACTAGGAAGGACCGTGAGACTACCCGATACCTGTTCGTAATCTGCGCTTACGCATCCAGCGACTGCAGTTCGAAAGATGAAAGGATGAGTTCTTATCAAAAGCTATCAGTGTTACTACAGAAAGTGAAACGTTCAGATATAGTCATAGTAATAGACGACTTTAACTCTCAAGTAGGGAAGCTGAGCCAAAAGGCAGGGAAGTTGGAGGTATCTACGCAGTCCCATGTCACCGAACCAATGACGGCTGTAATCTGTTACAGTTTTGTCATGACAGTCACTTGTTCCTGACCAGAACTAACTTTAGGCATTAGGAAAGACACTGTCTCACTATGCGTGCGCGGACCTTAAACCAACGATGGATATAGATCATATTGCTATAAGCCATCGTTGAAGAGGATCGGTGAAGGATTGTCGCTCTTTCTGGAGTGTATATTTGAACTCCGATCACGCTTCTGTACGGGTTCTTGTATTTCTGCACCAACCGGCCACAAAAAACAGACGACAGTGAAGCATGTTTGTGCTGGACTGGGAAGATGAAAACATGAAGCACGTATTTAAGGAGAAGATATACAGTTTGCTATAAAGATAGTGATAAAGACAGTTGGTAACCTACATTCAAAGGTTAGCGGAAGGCTGTTAAATCACACAGCCTCATCGAAGATAATCCATAAGACAAGATTCATTCCACTTAGCTCTAAATGTGATCCTGAGTGTAAGCAACTTAAACGTTAATTTATCAAAAGTCTTTACAATGATTGCTAAGAGTGGCGGGTGACGAAAGCGAAAGCGATAAAAAAGGCGTCAGCAGTAGGTGATACTCGGGAATTATTTAGATTTACTAATGATACTGGTAAGAAAAAGATGGTGGTTAGTTGGACCATCGCTGAAAAGTATGTCACTCTGATGACCTCTCAAGAATAGCGTCTAGAACGTTAAGGAGTACCAAGCAAGCTCTCTACTCGGACACAGCCTAACAGCAGCCTAACACAGCCGTGAAAGGGCTTATGGAGGGTTCTCAGTTGAATTGACAACAGTAAATGGTGTTCAGCAGGAATAACCGCTGCACCGTTTCTGGTTACTTTCGTTATAGATATATTAATAGACAACCTTAGGTACGTCTGAATATACAAGAATTGTTTTAATTTCTGGAAGGTATCTGATTGACTTGGACTGCGCAGATGATATTGTCCTGGTAATTGAAAGCGCTGACAAAATACAGGGTCTTCTGAACGCATTAAACAGAAATCTACGTATGTTTGGCATGTATTTTGCACCTGTCAAATGTAAGATGATAACTCAAGAGTGGTCTACGCGAAGTTGTATTTGGAGGATAGGGGATTTGCAACAGCCTAAATTGGTTAGTTTCAGATAAAATCTCGGTTCGGATGCAGAAGGTTTTTTTGGCATTTATCAACTTGTGTCATCTCTGACACCAACTGACGAGATATCTGACTACCTATTAAAGGCCGAGTATGCTCTTCCACAGTCCTATCTACCTCATAATTCGGCTGTGAGACGGTCGTTAGAAGTAAAAGATATGAAAGATTTTAACTACAAGTGTCTCCGTAGCATCGCTCATATGTGGCGGAATCGCCGTATGAAGAGTGTCGAGGTTAAGTGAAGGGTACAAAGCATAGAAGGTCAGTCAGTCGATGAGGTTGTGAACCGTTACTAAATGACGTGGCATGAATATGTGCTGTGCTATTGACAAGTTAGCTTGACCCGCGACATTCGATGAAATGAAATTTGGTTGGATGAAGGCTTAGGCTAACTAGTCTAAGACATTACACCGGGTATGGGAGATAGGTCATGGGATAGAATTGTGAACCTTCACCATCTGAGATAACTCGAATCTGTGTTGCTCAAGCTGAGCCATTGCCTTCCTCAATGTTAGGCGAATTAGGATTGTATTAAGAGGATGACTGAGGGTGGGCGGACCAAGAAGTTTCGCTGGTCAGTGAAGTTTCTGCTACCCACATCTCTGTGGGTAGGTTTTGACTGTTTGAATAGTGTACTCGAAATTTTGGGACCAACGGTGGCAGATTCTTGGTGACGTGGTCGAAAATTGGTCACAATGGTGCAGTTGCATTCGCTCTGACATTTTCGAAAATTTGAACATTTTCACTAACCTTCATTATTTCTTCTCTTCACCCCCATACACTTATGCCTGTCTTGATATCAGTCATTTTCTATTCACTTTTTCTTCGCATGCTGCGATGTAGTGTAGAAACTGGAACCAATGCACTCATGTATGATTTAAAATGTCTATATTTTCTCTTTGTCGGTCTGTTACTATCCTTTGTATTTTTGGGGGAACTTGCTTGGTACAGATCTAGCTTACTGTTGTATTCTTGGCGTTTATAACCTCAGGGTGAAGTCTAAGAAACACTAACCTTTTGAGCGGTTACATGCTTTTATTCTGACTGTATTTAATGAATTTGAAAGTTTCGAAGTGCTCTCTTCCTTTGCGTGAGATGTGAACTGAGATTAGTCTTGGCTGATTCCGAAAACAAACATTGCTTTTCTTAGTCTCTATTCCCCGCGTTTTCATAATATCCATCATAATTAGTTATTTTGAGTTTTTTTTTCAATGTTTGGAAGAGGAAAATAACCTGTAGCTACTTTTTATAAAATGTACGCTGTTTCATATTACTTTTTCTATTTAGGATTCTTTGTTATCCATTTGCTTTGTTTTTAAAACTGGAATTCGTATTTTAGTTCTGTATTTATTTTAGAACATTGGTGGCCTTATTTGATGCGTCCATCTAGCAAATAAAACTTTGTTCGAGTCAGTCAACTTAAATTGTAAAAAATTGTTATTTTATGGAGCCATGGGCTATCGATTTGACCAGTCGTCTTTTAGATTCGAATCTCACTCTACCTCTTGAGGTTTTGGTGATCATTTAGTATAACTAGCCCTCACGTATTAGATGTGATTTATTGCTTGATGCATGATCCCTCAAATGGTCCCTAAGTTATGTCAGTCCGTGATGAATACTACCTCTAAACTAAAATGTCCATTCATCTCAAAAATGCATGTATAGTGCTCATTAGTGACATGCTTTCAAATGGATATCCTGAAGTTCTAATTAGAAGCTGTGACCTGTGGGGTCAACCAGTCGGAAGGGAAACGGATGCCAGCTGAAGACCTTTAGCGATAATCACGCTATGTCGCGAATTGACAGAAGTTAGAAACTGTGAACCACTGAACTCCGACTCAGCGGTCCATTGGTTAACGCGTTCGCTGTGAGACCTGAAGGTCCTGAGTTCGATGCCTGGTGGAGTCGTGGGTGTATGCTGCTGAGGAGTCCCGTACTAAGATGAACCAGCTGTTCAGTGCTCCCAATTTTTCAATGGTTGCTCAACCGATTTCAGTTCGTGCTGAATATATTGCCTCTAAATTAAAATCTCCATTTCAAAAATACATATCACCGCAATTGCTAAAGTCTCATTTTAGTAACCAACTTCTTAGACAAATATCATTACATGGTCATACTTCAATTGAAGTTTTTAATCAACAGCAGAACCCACTTTTCATTTTGAGTAACAATGAGTCACTGAAATTGGGTAAGTTTTAATTTAGTTATCCCAGTTATTCCAGTGAGTTAACATTTTTACTGGATTGTTTACTACTTCTGCTTTTTTTGCAGTGTGCTCCGGTTTATTGGTTAATGCCTATCCGGATGCTAATTTGTGCGAAGAATTCCTACAGATATTAGAAATTATTCTAAACCATGTTGTAAGCGAAAGTTTTGATATTATAGATTATATTTATAGATTTATAGATTTATATTTATAGATTATATTACTGATTTAATGTAATTGTTTGCAAAATATGAGTTGGTTGGTTACTACTTGAATAGAAAAATACTTAATGAGAATATCATTGTTATTTCATCCACTATGAAATGTTCTAGCAACGAAGAAATTTACGTTTCATCAACAAAACTCAATACTGCAGAGAACTTAGGTTGACATTCTGCTTTTGTATATCTTGTATGTATACATCATTGTTGATGAGATACACTCCTTTATTCATGAATTGTAAGATGGGTATTTTTTTTGTCAGCGAAGAAATACTTATCAGTAGTTGGATTATATTAAGCTGTATGATCTTCTTCAATAGCAATCAGTAGAAAGCCTTTAAACTATGTTTTGTTCTTGGTTACACGAATAACTCCTAGCTTCAAACATTCAAATGATGCTCACCTTAGTGCTGTCTCAGTGCGCTTATTGGCCACATTAGAAACTTGACCAACGGATTTCGATAGGTAAATTGATTGGTGACAGGAGAGCAACCAATTCCATGTTGTTTAGTCCTGAGTGCTGACCGAATTCTATCGATTTCTATAAGTACTAAGGGTTTGACAGCTAGATAGATATGTTACTATCCGGTTACCATTCCTCTCATATAATAATATTTATATTTCGTCAAAAATTATTCGGTTTCACTAAGCTCAGCTAATGTATACTTTATAGTTGGATCAAAATGGAAATGAAACCTAGAAGAGGAATAACTGAAGAGGAAGTTATTAACCTTTATCCCTGGTTAATAATCATAATAATGATGAGTAGTGATCATAAAATTGCAAAATAGAGTGAGATGAAATAAATTCCCTTAAGCTGAACATAATAATTGGAAAGTTTCATTTTTAGAGTAGATCAACTTGTGGATTACTTTGAAGGATTATTCATGTGCAACTGAGTGACTTCATTTTGTTAGGTTTTCACGAATAAAGGATGGTGTTGGTCTTCTCTTTAGTAACAAAGCACATAAATGTTCGGAATCAGTGTCCCAGGGGATTTACTTATGATATCTGTTATCATAAGTTTTGCCATGTGAACTATTAGATGCATATAGAGGTGAATATTGATAATAGGTAGTCCTTTACATATTATCAAATTAGACATCAGCTCTCAAATATTAACCTGAAGCTAGTGAAGTAAAAGATATTTCTGATGGGTCTTGATAAGTAACGAATACCTATTCCATTTGAATCTTGAACTCATAGTCAGAACTTTCAGTTTTATGATTGAATATCGAGCTGTTTATTCCTCAAGCCCTACGATAGTTCTTTAAACGTGCCCATAATTTCAGTGTTACTCAAATATATCGTCGAAGGTCACTTCTTCTTGAGCTACTTGAAAACGAAAACTGATTCGTTAGGATGATATTATTATTATTAATACCAAATTTATTCTGAACAACACGTGTGGTACAGTATAGAATTCTCAGCATGTAACAGTTCAACAAATTCATTCCCTGTACAGTATCTCTAAGAGGAATAATCATTGGATTTGAATAATATTAATGATAACGGTAATAAGAAGTACAATGTGAAACAGGCACTTGGTATTACATTAGGGTCTGGTTTGGACCGCTGATTGAATAGAAAATCGAGCGTAATTTCACTGGTGGTAGCTGGTCCAGTCAGTACCAAGATCTACAGTTCGACAAAGTTATCCAAGGGATAGTAATGTACTGTATTTCTGCACGTTTATAAGCCCATCTCGTCTTACCAGCGTATCCTTTTTACTTTATTTTGTTGTTAGCTGGAAAAATGGCAGTTTGAAATCATTTAAAAAGCGTTCAAGAGTACATGACTCGTTTAAAAGACATTTAAAAGGTTAAAGCAAATTGAAAGGAAGCGATTTGATGAAACTTTCAGTAGCCCAAGGTTTTGGCAGGCCGCCTCCGAATGCCAGTGTCTAAGGACATCTGCTGGAGGTTGATCACTCACGACCGTTTTAAGTGTTTTGGATTTATATTTTTGTTACGTCTACGCTAAGAAAACACATACCTCTGGCAGTGGAAGTCTTTAGTCAATAGGTAGTGTGGTCGTTTTGGGTCTAACCTTTTTCTAAACCTGCCATTCCGATAAAATAAAAATGGCTATTCAGCTTCAACATCTTATTAGTGTCACATGTCGTGCAAACATCAGAATGACTTCATCCTCTAGCGTCGACAATAACGCTAATGATATCAATATAGCGGTAACTGCTCTTTGTTTTAACTCTATTCAGGAGACACTTCTGAAACATTTGGACCTCAAGAAATGATTGTCCCAGTCAGCGTAGCCTGTTGGATCATTGCGATGGGCTAACCTGACCACCATGTTCAAAACCTATTGTGTTTCTCTTGAATGGATAGGGATGAAGGGACTTGAACCAAATTTATGTATTCAACAAGATACAGTTTGCAATCTCACATCCCTGTGGTAATTAGTTTACAACGTTAAATTTCAGTAGGTGATGTATTCAAACGTTTGCTACGTCATTCAGTCCTGTAAAATTTGTTTTGTCGCTACCTTGATTTTCATCTGAACTCTTCTCAACTTACCCCTCAAACACTTATATATTCAAAACACTTTGAAGTTACGCTATTTATGTTAATTTTTATCATTCCTTCCTTGAAGAACAGTTCGACTGACTTCCTGCTGCCAGCATTCCGTCGCCTGCCAGCTCGAATGAGATGTCTAGATAGGATCCCTAACAATCATATGAGTGTAAGCTGTAAGCAATCTGTAACGAGGGAGAGAAGTGCCAGACGTACTTGCTGCAGAGGTATTTAAGGACGGTGGTAATGGATTATTGATCAAATTAAATGAAGCGTTAACTAGTGTATGGCAGTCAGATATGATTGCTTCTGACTGCTCCTGAGCACTGGTTGTCACAATCATCAGGAAAGGGAAGAAATACTGCTGTAATAACCATAGGTGTTTCATTTTGACGAACAAAGTCCAAGATTATGGGATCTATGATCACTAGATGACTGAGTCGAGATCGGTAAGATAGAACCCGAGAAGTCCTCGCAGTTTTCAAACCTGACCATATGTGTATCAATCAGATATTTGTCCTTCTTCAGGTTCTCGAGCACAAGCACACTTAGCGGTGCCAAACAGATAGATAAAATCAACGTAGAACCTTGCACACAAGTGCGTCTATCTAACTTGCTATACTTCACAGTAGCATGCCAAGAACAAGTATACAGAAACAGATTGATATCAAGTGGACAAAGGAGTGTGCGAGGGTAAAGAATTTGAAATTGTTGGTTAGAGAAAATGTTCAAGCTTCCGAAGACGTAAAAGAATAAATACATCTGCTTCGTTGTGTCCAGTCTTCAGCCATTTCACCAGGAGTCACTAATCATTAATTCCTGTGATCATGGGAATCCTTGTCAGGTAATCTACACCTCTACATGACTCATACCAGCAGTAAAACACTTCATCCACTGGTGCCACGTCTTGTTCTGGCCATCATTAACCTTCTACATTAATCCGACTTCTGTTATCATTGCACGTGGTAGTAGGGGGTGACTCGGTATGTGCAACACATGTCCAAGCCACCTCAGTTGATGAAGCTTCACAGCCTCATTGACTAACTTGCCTGTCCTGCCTAGTACCTTTCGACTGACCTCGACATTGTTCATATGGTGACTCCACCATACGTGAGCAATGCTACGAAGATAAAAATCTCCTACTTCCAACAACTATGTATCACAACCGTATAACAGTACAGAACGAACTGCAGGGCAGTATACTCGTCCTTAGTAGATAGTCGTATATGTCGCCAGTCGGTGCCAGAGATAACACAAGTTGGCAAATACTAAAAGAACCTTCTGCATCCGAACTGAGAATTCGTCAGCAATCACCCCGTTTAGGCTCATCCAGCTCCCTAAATAATTGAATTGGTTGACGCATCCAACCACTTCGCTCCACTCCACTAGGAGCAGTTTCAGACCAATCTTGGAGCATCGTCTTACACTTGATAAGTGCAAAACGCACGCCAAGCACACTCAGATTTCTGCTCAACGCGTTCAGAAGACCCTGGATTTTGTCAGCATCTTCACCTAGCAAAACAATATCGTCTTCATACTGCAAGTCAACCAGATCGCCTCTAGGGAGCAGAATGATTTTTATGAATTCAGACTTACTCAAGGTAATGTCCACTTATACTTGTATAATAAAATTAAACGGGAACGGTGATAGCGGTCATTCCTGTTGGACAGCATTTACTGTCGTCAATTCAATTGAGAACCGTCCATAAGCCCTTTCACGGCTGCATTAGTTCGAGTAGAAATCTTCGAATAACGTTACATATTTTCTCAGTATTCCTTTCACGGTCGGCTACTGTCACAACACCTCACGATTGAGTGTCGAATGCTGTCTTTGGGTCCAGAATTGCGGCAAGTGTAAACGGTCAGTGAGTACGCTTGTGTTCTAGAACCCGTTGAAAGTTGAAAATTTGATCGGTGCACCCTCGTCAAAGTCTGGTTTTGTCGAGTTTGTTGTTCGTAAGTCCTAGTTAGGCGCGGGATAACTATGGATCTGAGGGTATTAGGCACGACACTAACCAATCTGATTGTATTGTGGTCATCAAAAAGACTTTTCTCCCTTCGTTTATACTGGAATGACCAGTGTAGCAGACTAGTTTGAGGGAGGGAAACCTCTGATTTCCATATCACTTGTTGCTCTAGGACTAGTCTACATTGATATCCTCTCCAGGAATAGGGTGTGAAGTTACAATTGAGATGAACACTTTTCAAATGAATGTCGCCTCTCCCTCTGTATTTGTCATTTTAATCTGTCTTCCAGGTTTTCCTAGGTGATTAGTTGGGTGAGAGATGTAGTAGAAACTAATTGGTTTACTCATCAGTTGAGCTTGGAACTTACCAATCTAAATGCTCTATTTTCTGAAAACTAACGCTTATTTAGATGTTCGTATGTTCGACGGTTGCATTCATTTGTTTGTCGGTTTTACTTGAAGATATTTTGTTAGGATCTATTTTATAAAAACCATATGCTTAACATTTTTGTGATGTCTAGTAATCACTTAATGTAGTATTCTCAAAGTTGTGTTCTCTTCTTTGTTACTGTTTAGGCTTTTAGCGAACAACAGAAGAAGCTTGTTTTATTCTGGAAGCATCGTGTAATTGCTGTGTATGGTCAGTATTTAACGCATCCTCATACTCATTCATCAAAATCTAAATCAGATTCTTGCTTTAACTTTTGCCCTCGTCCATTATCACAAAGTAATTACTCGGATAATCGCATTCGCAAGATTCCAAACCATTGTGTGAGTCATGAACGAGCAGGTTTTCATCAGTTGGCTTATAAACCTCTTCATGCAAATGGACTTTCTCCTTCTGGTGTGTGTTTTCATAATGCTCACGGTGCTTCTTGCTTCACTCTCGATACTTCGGATTTACCCCACCCGTTTTTTGATGCAGGTTCTGTCCAGACAAATTTGCCGATGAACGTCACCGTCTCAACGGAAGTTTCACGACGGCATAGTATTTCTGTTGGTGATTCTCAAAATCATTTAGCGGTGGGCAAACAAAACAACCGGCGTAGGATGCCTAGTCCAAACTTATCTTGCTTTCCCAGTAGAAATGTTATACCAATCAATCCCAATTCAAATACTTTTGCATTTCCGCATCACCCTCAAGCATCTTCCGAGATGGAATTGTCTGGCTATCCATCACAGTTGCCACGACCACGCTTTCATAGTCCATCAAGATTTGACCCTTCAACCAACATAGCTCCACGCCGTAATCTGATGCCACTTGCAACTGCTCCTGTTACTAGAATGCCTTCTCCTTCCGATGTCTGTCGTAACAGCACTAGCTATACTGACTGGTTTTTTCCCAATAACAGGTCTGGATTTCCAATAGTTCCTTTTACATCAAGTATCTCACCACTTTCAGCTTGTGAAGGGTCTTGTTCAAACAATACAATTCCTGATACTCATCTATTTCAACAAGTGAAAACATCAAATGTCCCATTTCGCATATTCCCACATCAAGATGTTCTTAACAACGTAAGTAAATTTTGTATTGTTTTGTATTTACAAGGGTATTTCAGTATAATTGATCTCCAAGTGAGAGATTCATTCATACGTTAATTAGATGGTTCTTTTATGTCAGTATGAAGTCTCATTTCTATTCGTTACTGAAATTTCCTTCCACTTCACTTGTATTTACACCCGACCGATAGCTACTACCTTGACGTGGTGGTCGGACTTGCATATCACAATGACTTAACGTGCTATGCTGGTGGAACACTTGTTCCCTCGAGGTCCTACCATACCAGAAAGGTCTGTTGGATAGTGGTTAGACGAAAAGCAGTTACCGTTGTGATATGAATTACTACACTATGATGGGGGTCTGAGGGCGAAGTTGTACTGCTGCTAGCTGGATGGGGTGTGACAGCAGTAAGGTGTTTCCCTTGGATGACCAGCAGTACCATGCTGCCTTCTCAGTGGAAAGGGGTAAGGGTTCGGAGAGGTCGGCTCCAAAAATAACGTACTCCACCATACCCCACGGTCTGCCAGGCCGGCGGTGTTGCTTCATTTATCGTTTCCTTTCCACCATACGGTCCCAAAAATACAAAAGTTCAGAATAATCATACACAAAAGGCTACGTGTGACAGGCCTCAAGCAGATGTCCAATGAGCTCTGCGGTCACATAAATCTCTTTCAGGTACCTTAAGAAGAAATAGCCCTCCACGGTGTGGGCAGCCGGTAGGTATCAATCGCCCTCACAACTCGATCAGCACTCAAGTTTCCTCAGACTACTATACACTTCCCCCTCCCCTCATTACCTCCTAATCTTCCTTCATGTCTCCCAATTAACAATACTATATCATCTTCAATTTCTCCTAGTTCTGCAGCCTTTGAAAACGATTTGAGTCCACAGAAAAGCATCACTGGTCTCCTTAAACCACGCTCCAAATTACATATTGGAGCCTTCAATGTTCACACCCTCCGTCAAATTGGTCAAATGGCTTCATAGGCAAAGACTCTAGCAACTCGGACCATGGATGTGTGCCGTGTTTGTGAAACACGGTTATTCACCTAACATCTCCTGGCCAATCTGGTGAGTTCGCAAAATTCACCCTTCGAGTTTCTGGAGATTCGATAGCTAGCTCTCGTGGTCTTGCAGGTGTAGGCATACCACTGCAGTCGGGCAGAAAACTCACTGCTAGACTGGATCCCAGTTGACAGTCGCCTCTGAGCTCTGAGGCTGAACGGCACAGTGAGAACTAAAAGGAATAGTGAGACTCGCCATTGTCTCTTTGTAATCTCTGCTTACGCACCCACTCACAGACTGTAGTTCGGATGAAGTGAAGGACGAGTTCTACCGTAAACTGTTTAGCCTCCTCTCGAAAGCCGAAAATCCCCACGTGGTGGTTGTTGCAGGTGACTTCAATGCACAGGTGGGTAGACTGAGTGAGGCAGAAAGGCACTTAGGTGGCACTTTCGAAGTCCTGGCTGAACGTACAGATAACGGTGATCGCCTATTGCAACTATGCTCAGATAACCGCCTATTTTTAGCCAGTACCAATTTCAGACATAAAGAAAGACACTGTCTGACCTGGCGTCCGCCGAGCTCAACTCAGCGATGGACACAGATAGACCACATTACTATTAGTCATCGCTGGAGACGATCGGTGGAAGACTGCTGTTCCTTCTGGAGTACATGCTTGGATAACGATCACGTGTTGGTCCGAGCTTGTATATGCCTGTGTCTCAATGGACGTAGAAAACATTTGGCAACAAAACCACTACAAGTACTGCTGGACAACGGAAACACCAAAGCCGTGTTCAGTGAGAAGTTGGCTAGGCAGTTGTCGGAATAAAAGACTGTCACCCATCCAGAAGAAGCTTGGTGCCTTTTTCAGTCTGCTGTAAAAGCAGCACTGAATACTGTAACCGACTCCAAAATAGTGGATATCAGCAGCTTCTTCCAAACTAATGGATGCACGTGAACGCATCCCTGCACGCCCCGAATACAATGAAGAGCGAGAGCAACTTAAAAGTAGATTGAGAAAACGTCTACGCAACGACCGCGAACAGTGGTGGACAGCGAAGGCTAAAGAGATGGAAAAGGCAGCAACGATTGGTAACAATAGACAGTTATTTAGGCTTATTAAGGAAACTGGAGGGAAAAGTTCAACAACAGTTAGTGAGGCTATAGTGGAGGAGGACGGGTCTGCGATTCACTCGCAAGGCAGTAGACTGGAACGATGAGTAGAACACTACGAGGAGCAGTTTAACTGGCCTCCAGCCATCATTACGTTGCCCTCTATCCAGTCGAATCCTGAATGGAACATTGAGATACACCCCCCCCCCCAAAAAAAAACACTAGCAGAAGTCGAGAAAGCAGTAGGTAACCTGAAACGAGGAAGGACGCCAGGACCAGAAGGACTAACTACAGAGGTATACAAGGATGGTGGTAGGGTGCTTTTATTCAGGTTAACAGAAGTGTTAGCTAGTATATGGGAATCAATTACGATCCGCTCTGGCTGATCAGAATCACTGATTATTCCAGTCTTTAAGAAAGGCGAGAATTCCTGTTGTGATAACCACAGAGGAATCAGTCTGACGAACACAGTATCCAAAATCCTAGGTACTATAATTCTCCGACGCCTGAGTGGAGCTCGGGAACAACAAGCCCGATAAAACGAAGCAGGCTTTAGACCTGACCGCGGATGTATCGACCAAATATTCACACTGCGCCAGGTTTTGGAACACAGACACGCTTACCGGTACCCGACATTAGCTGTGTTTCTCGACTTGAAGGCGGCGTCCGACTCCATTGATCGAGAAGTCTTATGGCAATATCTCTCACTGAAAGGCGTGCCGAGTAAGTACATCACCTTATTGAAGGCTCTCTACTCGAACACTTGTGGGTGTGTTAGAGCCATTGGGAAATGTCAGGTGAGCTATACTCATAGAGTGGTGTCCATCAAGGGTGCCCACTCTCTCCATTCTTATTCAGTTTTATCATCGATTTACTTATGTAGGTTTCCCTGTCGTCACCTGATTACACAGAGGTTGACCCAATCGCAGGAGAATTTTCGTTAGACCTAGAATATGCAGATGACATTGTCCTGTTAGGTGAAGACGTTGACAAGATGCAGAGTCTTCTGAACACTGAGTAAGAATTTGAGAATGTTTGGGATACGGTTCTCACCACCCAAATGCAAATTTCTGCTCTAGGATTGGTCTTCAACGGTGCCCCACCGCGACTAACAATAGAGAGTGAAGTGGTTGAGTGTGTCGACTACTTCACTTACCTGGGAAGTAGGATCAGCCCTGGTGCTTAGCTCAGTGGCCGATGAAATCTCTGCGCGAATACAAAAGGCTCGATTGGCTTTTGCTAATTTACGCCACCTATGGCGCCGCCGTGGTATCCGTTTGTCTATTGAGGGTCGCGTGTACTGCACCTGCATAGCAGTCCGGTCTGTCCAACTGTATGGCTGTGAAACATGTCCACTGAAGGTGGAAGACATGAGAAGGCTTCAAGTGTTTGACCACTATTGCCTTCGTAGTATAGGCCGTATTCCGAGGTGTCATCACGTGAGTAACGCAGAAGTCAGGTGTAGAGTTTTAGGGAGAAGAGGTAAGTCAGTTGACGAGGTTGTGAACCTTCATCGACTGAGGTGGTTGGGACACGTGTTACGTATGCCTAGTCACCGATTGTCTCGTCACACAATGTTGGCTGAAGTAGGTCCAGGCTGGAAAAAAGGCTCCAGGTGGCCAGACTGAAACATGGCACCAATGTATGAAGTGTTTGACTGTTGGTTCGAGCCATGTGGGGCGATGCCTACCAGGTGGTTGGGGTCCGTAGGACAAGAGGAACCAGTGACTGGAGACCCTAGGGGATGTGGCTCAGAACCGATGTCAGTGGCGCAGATGTACACACATTATCCTCATCTTAACGATGCTATGCCGAATCTCACCACTTTCTCATTCTTCATTTCTCTCTTTTCGTACTTTTGTCTGAATTTTTTCTTCATCTTGGGTCTCATTGCCTTTTTACTTGATGTGTTGATATGCGGTGTGGCAACTCGTACCGTTACGCAGTAATGCCTGGTTGATCTGGATGGATGGATTCTTTTGTTCTGATTTGTGTGTCAGGTGATTTTTGTAATTTGTCACTTGACACAACTGCGTTTTTCTCTACAATATGATGGCGAGTAGTTTCTTGGAGCGTACATGCAGATAAACACGACAATACTGTATAAATAGCACATAAAAGGGATTCAGCTAAAATGACTAAGCTTGACCACGTCATATCTGCTTATTGAACTAGAATGAGCAAAATTTTGATTTTCAACTACCTAGATAAAGGCATAGGAGAACATTATAATCATTCTGCTGTAACAAATAGGGAAGTCGACAAATTGGTCAAAGATTTTGTTCCACTTTTCAACACTTAAATTTTCTGAATAAAAGAACGAAGTTGAGTGAAATTATTTCTAACAAGGAAATATTTTGTGGTGAATGGGTATTATACTTTTGAGGCAGTATTTCATCACGGACTGACATCAGTTGGACGACCATTGAAAACCTGGGAGCTTATTAGTGACATGCTTTCAAATGGATATCCTGAAGTTCTAATTAGAAGCTGTGACCTGTGGGGTCAACCAGTCGGAAGAGAAACGGATGCCAGCTGAAGACCTTTGGCGATAATCGCGCTATGTCGCGAATTGACAGAAGTTAGAAACTGTGAACCACTGAACTCCGACTCAGCGGCCCAATGGTTAACGCGTTCGCTGTGAGACCTGAAGGTCCTGAGTTCGATGCCTGGTGGAGTCGTGGGTGTATGCTGCTGAGGAGTCCCGTACTAAGATGAACCAGCTGTTCAGTGCTCCCAATTTTTTCAATGGTTGCTCAACCGATTTCAGTCCATGATGAATACTACCTCAAAAAGAAGTATTCAACATAGTGAAGGGTGAAATCTAATTATGTATTGGTGACGGCTTTTATGTAAATGTTGTCATTTCGCTATTAATTTAAAACAAAGGTGCCGC